AATTTTGCAATTAATTAAGGATGTAAAATACATTAATGTGATCTAAGAAAAATATGAAAATTAAAATAAAATAAAACTTCACACATCTATGTTATATCTAGGTATTCTCATTTGTTAATTAAAAAATACTTAAGCATGACATTGTAACCATACTTAACAATATCATCCGAACCCTAATAGATTTATTATAAAACTATCTATAGAACTAACTAACTTTTAGTGCAGGCGAAGGTAAAGCCCGGCTTCCACTAGGGAAAGATTGGGAATATATTTCGCACCCGGATGAACATAAGCCGAAATCTCGTTACGAAAGTGGCCAATGTCACATTTTCCCTAAACATTACGCGAACAAGAAATGAGTAGAGTATTACGGATGTTTCTAGCTTAATAAGTTTTTTATGTGACGATAAATTTCGTAAGCTGGTTAGTAATATAGAAATAGTTTAGTTACATCCCTTTTCTTGTCTATTTTATGCCAAAGACTAAATAAGGATTTCTCTTTGATTTGTGCAAAGTTTTTAAAAAGTCATTCTCAGTTTGTATTTCTTTTTATTTCTTTATAATTGGTTGTTGGTTCATATTTTTTATTCGATGCATTTATTTACTTTTTTAAATTCCCTTTTCTCTTTAATTTTCTTTACTCGTGTATATAAATAGTTATACACATGGTTACACGTATCCAGTCCCTAGGGTCATGATTCAATTCACTTTGACCGTTGCCATGTCTCTCCACACCCAAACAATTAGACAAATATATGTGGTAATTGAGGACGAACGTTGTGTGTTGCCAGTTAATTAAAGTAGTATCTTCAAGGGATATTTCGTCTACCGTACCGAGATATCACGTATTTCGATTTATTTTAGACAATTATTTGGCGTAAGAATGTTAATTAAAACATGTTTATAAAAGAACTTATCCTGTTCGCTCGGATGACGCAAATGAATTGTTAGATGTCCGTCTTTGGTGTTAATATCAGGTCATTTTTGCCTTTATAAGGAACCCGTAATGTATAACACGCAATAAATACGCTCAGTATATTTACATTGTTTTCGATACACCCGGATATGGAATGACGTAAATGTCGATATTTATAAACATTGAAACGAGCTGCATGTTTGTTTTTGTGTAGTTTTGTGTGTTGAATAGTAAAGCTTTACTGTTATTGTTGTAGAAAATAAATGGGTAAAATTGAATAGAGAGAAGAATACGTTTGAATTCAAATTACGAGCAACGGTAATCAAAGGCTGTGTTACTTATCAAATGGCACGTAAATAAGTATTAAATGTAAACTTTGGTCCATGTGTGTCTGCATGAGATGTCGTAGACAATTGAGTATTGATTTTGCAGTTTCTCACATACGCATCGATTCACCAGGTAAGCTTACTTCAAATATAAACTGCGTTATATTTCGACGGATAACAAAATGGTTTACAATCAGACGAACAGATTGTGTGATAAAATGAATGCAATCTGTAATTCAAGCCTACGAAAGATTTACCTAATATAATGCATTGCAGTGAGAAAGTGTACACAATGTGCAAGAATGAAATATTGCTATTATTTTTGTATTTATTCAACGCAATATTTCTGTTAATTTTGCAGTGAATGTGTAATACAAAATAATCAACTTATGATCAGAAAATTTATTCTACAATTATGACGTCAAGAAGTAAGTTCCTCCTTTATGTATTCAGTATTGCAGTCCAAGTAAATAGGATGTTCAATTTCGCAGTCGCAATGAATGTATAAGGATTTAAACAGCTCGTCACACGCGTCGTTATAAATTCAAATCGACAAACTGCACGGAAATCTAGTTTATTCAATATTCTGTACACGACAACTTAATTAATACTTCACAGGAAATATACGTTGGAAATTCAGTAATAGTGTTTGAAATTAGTTTAGTTTAATTCTCTAGCAATTCATATTACTCGTATTATACTTGTATTCGCCACTTAACAATTTCTAAGTTAAATGTAACCCTTTCTAATAGCAGTGATTAGTGGAATACATTTGTCAAAGAACTCGCATATTAAGAGATGCACAGCTTATAGATAGTGAATAAATCCTTTTAGTTCCCGGCTATTAGCAGTTCAAACTAGCTTAATTAGTGTTACCCGAGAAGCCAAGTAAAGGTACATAAAATCCCATTGCAACTATGATGCAAATCGCTCAGGTTTCCATTCAATACATAATTATATATTAATTAGTTATGAATGTGGAGGGGTCGAAATACATGGAGATAGATGGATTGCGTGAAAAGTGACATGGTCAAGAAAGCAGTGACAGAGATGACGGATGACAGAGTTATTTGGAGGACGAAAACACAGTGTAGGATATAGTAGGGGTGATAATGTTGAAACTCGATCTGACATGATGAAACTCTTATTTGTATTTTGCAGCTAGTCGCGAACCTTTATTGAATATTTACTTCGTGTTTTAATTAATCCAGTGTTTGTTTTTGTACAAATTGTTACAGTTTCATTTTGTCATCGTTTAACGCAAGAGGTTACTTGATTTTTTCTCCGTTGATCTACTACAATAATATGTATTTGATAGCGGTGTTTAATCCGGTAAAAACCATAGTAAGGAACGAATCTACAGCTGGGAATTGGCTGTTCCTTCGTCCCTTAAAAAATAAACCTTTGCAGAAAAACACACCTTTCCTCGCTGTATATTGAAATAAAATGTGAACCTTATTGAATTAAACGGACGTCCGTTTTCCTCCAACCTTAGCATTATTTGTGTAACCGAGGCACCTTTTGACCACATATTCCATTGACGTTACATTTTTTATCATAAGTCGGCAAACTAGCGAAATTCGCTGAAATAGGGACCACTGCCTATAAATACGCAATTGCAGACTCATTGCTTACCTTTAATTAACGGAGGGGATGTACAGATAGAACGTAGAGAAAAGGACTTAAATAAGGTCACCGGCACGCACATTCATCAGACGAATAACTTCTGTTTGATGCGTATCTTCTGTGTGGTCGTAGTGGAAACAAATGTTGTCTGGCGTCTACGATTAAATTATTAATATTCGATTGTAAAATTAACCGTATAATATGTTCCTTTAGCCATCTCGTATAACTGGGCCGCGTGACTCAATACGCCTGGCCTCTAACGCTGGGAACATCATTTTATTGCTCAATAAAATGAACGACTTCCAAACATTTTTCTCCAAGGTGTACCATGTACGATTTCATGAATGTGTTCTTGTAAAATATATTCAAAGAAACAAAAACACGTAATTGTGCCAACTACATCTTAATGGTGTTAAGTGATTGTAAATAAAATGTTGCCACTAAGTGTATCGGCCGTTTACTGAAACGAGATTTAAACGTGTAATAGCGTCTTCATAGTTAAAGTCACACAGACTCAAAATTCTATTAAAATTGAGACGTCTATATTTTAAGCGCTTGCATAACGAAGTGTTTTTTTATTCGTTTTAGTAACTGGCTGAATGTAGTCATATCTTCACTAATATACAAAGAAAATAATATTAATTCTTTGTTATAACGTCTCTTAGTCACGACTTTTAAATTGAAAAGAGTAGAAAATAATTTTCATTAATGAAAATATAAGTTCATTGACCCGATAAATGATATTTCATTCATACTTCAAAACTACTACAAAAAACTATAAAATAACAAAATTAATGTTTTCAATTTTAAAAACGCTATCAGTTTCTTAGAAAAACAATGGAAGCAGTTAAAATATTTCCTTACAATCGCCAGGTGCGCTCGCCAGATGTCGCTGCACTCAACATTTGTGTTGGCTTCAGTCCAATTCGAGGCGATTTAATATATTTATTAAATAAAACGTTATCGACAACCCTAGCGAGTTGGCGAACGGTCAAGATTGACCGAGATCAAATCATAGCGATGACAACTCCATTTAACACTGCATAGTTATATGTCACCGACAAATTTTGAACTGCAACAATGCGTAATACGACTAGATAAATTACAAAGAGAGATAATTATATACCGAACCGTAGATAATATTTGATAGACTGAATATTAAACCAAAAAGGATCTTTATAAAATGTACTTAAATTGTAGTGTGTATACAACATTAAAGTTTTAATGAACTATAGAACATTGTTTAACCTACATAGTACGAGTAGTTACTAGGCGGAGTTTTAGATCTGTGTCAAGTAAATATCATACATCGACAGCATAGTATAACTAACTGTTCTTGATACTTGGACATCGTAATTAGGGAATTATTTGATTAAAACTAATTAGTGTACAGATAATGAAAGTAATGTTACAAAAATCAATTAATTAACAATAAACGAATGTTTATTAAGTTATTTCGAAATATATCCTGACTGTTATAGACCATTCTGAACTCTAAGCGAAAATTAACATTCTGAACTCACTAAACCTAAAGATTGACAAACGTTAGCTTGCTTTTTCTGCCTCACACCATCAATACATGCATAGTATAGTATCACGTGCATTATTGCCATATCTAGCTATAGTTTTTAAAGTATAAAGTTTTTGAATTCACCTTTCCAATAAGATATTTCCAGTTTATTTGTAAAAATGTTCATTTTTATATCATTAAGCTTAGTTACTCTTATATAATTAGATAACTATATAACATATTTATGAAGATGTTTATTTTAAGAATTATTAAGCAAACTTGTGTATAACGTGTCCACGAAGCGAGAAAATGTGTACGATGTTACCTATTGCGATATAAACAGAAAAATACTTACATTTTAAACAGATTTATTTCGTCCCAGAGATCTTAAACTATTGCTATACTTTTGTCATTTTCATTGATGCTTCCAATTTTAGAAATCTCCAAACATTGTCAAAAAAAGTATTACTACTATCATGGTCGGTGTAATTGAAAACTGTCACAAGTATTTTTCTGGTTATGATGCGCTGTGCGCTGAGCGGTGCAGCGGTGCGGGGCGGGGCGGGCAGGCGGGCGGCCCGGCCCCGTGCCGCCGCCCGCTCACCCGGCCCGTGCTTGCAGGATGCACGCGGTGGGCCTGCACTCTGCGCTGGCCATCCGCCGCGAGCGCCGCCGCCGCGCCGAGCAGCAGCGCGCCCGCGAGCGCCGCTACTCGCTGCAGTCCACCGAGTCCGGCCTCACCTCGCCGCATTGCTCCACCGGCAGCTTGGAGCGCCGCCGCCGCCGCCGGGCGGGCACGGCAGACAATGAGGTTGTCTCCTCTGTCGGCATGTTACACCTCGGCGTCGTCTTTCTCGTGCTGGGCGTGTTCCTCGTCGCCTCCGGCTGGCTGCCCGATGACGTCACCGCCTGGAGCAGTATCGGCTCCGTCAGCTGGTTCAACGAGCTCGTCTGCTCGGGCCTGTTCGCGCTCGGCATCGGCGTCTTCCTGATCGCGCTGCACAAGTACCTAACCAAGAGCGAGGAGGAGGCGCTCGAGGACTACGTGCAAAAGCAGCTAACGCGCTCGCGCTCCGGACATCGGCTCGAGCGGGACGCGGAGACCGGCGGCATGCACACGAAGCACACGCGGCGGGCACGCGCCACCGAGGTGCTGCCTCCTGCCGCCCTCACCGAGACGTACGTGGAGCCGCCGGCGCACGGTTTCGTGAACGCGCTGGCGGGCAACGGCGACCTGCCGCCGCCGCTCGAGCAGATCGCGGAGGAGGAGTCGTCGCTGGGCTCTGAGGCGGGACGCCGGCGCGGCTACCCGCGCGACGCGTTATCGCAGGCCTCCGCCGCCGCCAGCCTCAGCCCCGGCTCGCCCTCCGACACGCGCGAGCTGCTCGCCGACCCGCGCTACATGGTCATGTCGCGAATGTAGGCCCCCCTTGCCCTGCCCGCGCCGCCTCGCGCCGCCTCGCGCCGCCCGCCTAGCGCCTTGTGCACCAAACCTACCTACCTACTTAGCCTATTACTTCGATTCATATTATCGTATTAACTCCACACAAAGCGACTGTGAATATAGCGAAACACAAAGCAAATTTTATAAACAGACTAGCAACTCGTAGTCTCTTAAATAGGTATTACTGTAGTTTTGATTTCGCTACAAAATCGAAAGGCTTCGTTAGTACTTTTACTCTTTTTGGTCGCTTCTCTATTCTAATATTTTAACAGACGGACCAAATCTAAGTAGATTGTAGCCGTAAGTTTATGTAATAGCCCTTTGTACTGACGAGTCGATCGTAAACAATCTGTAGCAAGTCTTTACATTCGATGTTGAGTTATTGTTCGATGACGTCACCGCGTAATGCACTGATGTACGGCTACGTGATAACATCATTTATTTATACACTCTGTACACATTTGTTTGAGACTGATTGTTAATATACTTTGTTTTTACCATATTTCTTACTAAAAATATTAATTATAGTCTATCAAAATGTATTACTAGGTTTAGCTTTTATTATATTTCATTGCACGACTCTTCAACACAGTTGTGTTTGTTTTTTTGTCTTTTATAAAACATAATAATATTCTATTAATTACATATAGGTACTCGTATTATATTGAATACTAGATTTCTTTATAAAGACTGTAACACTTTCCAGTGATCTCATTATCAATGTTTGTATCGGCTGTGAATATGCATTTTGACTTATTTCTTATTTTCCTGACCTTCATATTGCAACGCTAGATTTATGTGGTTTATAACAATGTTAAAGTTTTTATTTAAAATGAATTTTAAAAACTGTAATATTAAATTTGCAAAGAACCATATTTAGAAAACGAAATAATTCAAATTTTAATGACACCTTTTTATACTAAATCAGTTCTTTTCTCTTTTCGTAATTGAAAAAATAAATATTTCTTTAAAGTGCAGTAGTTGAAGGAATGGTAAACATTTTTTTCGATTGTTACCTTTTTATGTTTTCATGACAAACACTTTTTGGTGGGATATTGTAGGCACTTTCTACGAAACATTAAGCTAGCGCTAAGGCTGTCTGTGAAATGCCTTAATTACCTTTTTTATATAACTTAGTAATAACTGCACCATGTTCTTTAAGGTGATATTTCAAAACTAATTATATTATATAACAAATTTTTCAATATATAATGTGTTAGAAAAATATATTCCTAGAAAACTTAGTCAAATGAACACCTTTCTTCAAACTTCTAAATATGTAGTGAAAGAGTAACATTCCAAAGAAAAGTTAAGTTAAAAATAAGTACAATGTGTTTATGAAAACATGTTTTTCTAACACATAAAATAGCATAATTGTTTATATGTCTTAAAAACTAGCTTATATCATTGTTAAGAGTTCGTGTTAGTCACTCAAACAACCCCATAGTGAAAATTATCGTGATAAATACTAAGGGGATGTTATAGTGACTAATGACTCTGAGTACAGCTGGATATCTGTACGGTAATATTTTCCCTTCGTTTTTAAAAACTTAGAAATAAGTAGAAGAAAAAAATTTAGCTTATGTTCACTTATTATTGATGTTATTGAAAATGATAATTTTAGTATATGTTATATTTTATATTTGAAAAACATTTCTTTGAACTTCAAATACTTAATTCTTGATATTTTAAAATTTTTAGTACAAAACATTTTATAATATAACTTTAAAGCACTTTTAATTAATTATAATAAACACGAAATGTAATAGTTTTAATATAAAATTAAATACTGCAATATATTTCTAATTTCTATAAGCTGATTATAAAACTTCTAAACAGTGTTTAAAATGTGCCACATTATGAAAGACCACTCGACGAACTCGTTAGCGTTTGCAATGTTAGCCTCTAAACAAGCAGAGCAACTAATTGCTTTTTGAAAAGTTAACCAAAGCCTCCATACAAAAATTTAACTGCAAATGCTAAAGATAATATTGAAAACGATTTATTAAATTAAGAAAACCTTTTATTTACATAAACAAAAATTTAAAGTACAGATATATGCAGTTAAAGAATTAAATTCGCTTCCCACTAACTATCGAGTATCATAAGCATTTGTCTACTGCTAAAACAAATTTTGTTAACATTGTAATTAGTAATAAGCAGTTAGTTGCTCTTGCTGTAAGTTATAGCCTGACGTACACACTGCACTAAGATCTAGCGGTTTTATATAGATATTGCACATAACATTAATTATGAAATTTCTCGTGCCTATACTTTTATATCTAGATATTTTTGATAGTTATAACTATAATTCAATATTTAAGTATCACGTGTAAATAATCACGCATTTCTCAGCTATTTATATTATCACATTTTATATTTACTAGATTGTATCGTTTAGTCATGTATTGCGTAGGCCTTCCACAAGGAAACACGATAATGTTGGGGTTAGGTTATGAATAAAACAAATAAAAAAATACTATTTATTGACTAAAAGACAACAAAACACAAATTTACAAAGCATATTAATGAATTAAAAAAAATCTTAGCCAAAGAGACTCCAGCTTGTCACTAAAGTCCGCGCTGATTTTCAATCTTAAAACAAAAATATCGTGATAGATTCTTTGGGTGGGTCCTTAGTATAGTAAAATAATTCATTTTATATTAAAACAGTGAATAATATGGATGTAATTGTATCAAGTCAAACACAAGGCTAAGGATAAAGAACGAAATACACGGCAGTGTAAGGCAAATAAAAACTGTAAAAGACTGTCCCACCAAATTGCAAATTGTCTGATAACCATCCAACGTGTAAAAGTAATAGAAATATTCCATTTTGTTACCTTATATAACAGTGACGTCGTTTTTAAGCTATCTGAGCCTCTATCAGTGGTGGGACAGGCCCTAAATGTCCTTAAACCTGAGAAAATCAGTCCCTTAGCCCTTACCAATGTTTTAAACTAGAAGAGAACAATCTTGAGGGAGGTCTACCTCTAAATGTGTTGGATGAAACTACGATATTTATTAGAAAAAAAAAGATTTTTTATTATAATGATGTTGCACAAATAATATATTCATTTGTCGAGATTCTTTTATTGGATTATGTTTCTAAAGTTCCTATCAAATACTAAATTGCATGTTTTTCTATTGCTATACTTTCAAATTGTAAAACTGTTTTGATTACTGTATACTCTTAAATGTTATTATTTGTGCAATATCTTTAGATAATTATCAATTTGCCTAAAGCACGCTTGCTGTTAGGCTTATATATATTCTAAAGTAAATAAATTATAATATCGACTACCTATTCTTGTGATTTTATATACACTTTAGTAAAGTATTGTCTGTAGTTATTTATTTTCACTGTAGTTCACAATTTTTATTACAGTTTTGATGTTGTGAAAAGCTCAAACGTGTTCGTTGTGATTTTTTTATGCAAATTTCGATGTCGTGAAAGTTTTTTATATATAAAACGCTTTTGCGCCATTTTTTAAAACTTTGTATTTGCACAAAACTTGTTAAAAGTAGTTCTACGATTTTTATTACATATTAGACAGGTTTAAAAATATTTTCACACAACCACATAGCGGAATAAATTGAAAAAAAGCTGTAACTAAAAAATTTGTGAAATTAATTAAAACTTAAGTTGGTTATGTAACATCGTAGAACTGCTTAAAATATTAAATTCAACTTGATACTAACATAAAAAGTCTTTGTCAAATTGTCTATAAGCTCTTAACTGTAAGCACGAGTTATATTTAAAACATTTTGTAATACAGCACTACGTGAATGTTCCGTTTAATAATGTTTTCGTTGGGAATTTCATAATGAATTTATGGGAGTAACATCAACTCGTACTAAACAAGCTGATTTATTCTGTTGAGTATATAAACAATATTACACGCTCTATATCTCTTTATCTAAATGTATATAAAGAGCTTATATAAACGAAATAACGTAACATTCATAGTATTGATTTCAAAGTTTATCTAGTCATGTATTTTTATTCAATTTATAACACTTATTATAGTAAACTATAAATAAAACAATGAATTTTATTTCTTAGCTTAAGTTGACTCTAATCGTGATATAACAATTCAACTTAACGTATACACAAACCATGATGTAAAAGGTGTAGGCAGAAAGCAAACAAAACAGCTAAAGATGGTATCAAAATGTAACACAATTAGACTTATTTAGTGTGTTCAGATCGTATAGGTATGTACAGTCCGGAAAATTCGCGGTAATACACTTACAGAATAATAAATTGCTCAAATAATCATACTAATATTATAAATGTGAAAGTTTAGATAGATGGATGTTTGTTAGAGTTTGTTGCTTAGGCTGAACGGATTGTGATGAAATTTTATATAGATGTAGAGGATAGTCTAGAAGAACACATAGGCCACTCGCTTTTGTTTTTCAATTCCACGCGGACGGAGTCGTGGGTGAAAACTAGTTGTATAATAAAAAGTAATTAGCTACTTACTATTGTCAAATATTTTTCATAGACACATTAAAAATCAGTCCTATTGGTTTTTGTTTCGCGTTGTTTCAATGCGAATAAAATGTTCTAGCGACGTTACTTTTACATATTTATAAAAAAAACTTTCTAAGCCTATGGAAATTCTAATATGACATACGAGCGGAATACCACAGATGTAAACAAAAAAGCTACGATTCTGAGTGCAAGTTAGTGTCGCTTTTGTCTTGCTGGCTGCTTTGAGTGGTGCTTAGTGGTGCTTTGCACTGGCGCGGAGCCAGCGGCCCTAGCGCACACTCAGAGTGGAAATGCTAAGTCGTTTTTGCGAACACTGTTAGTATTTGAACGGATTTCTATAGCATTCTATTTATAAATATTCGCTTGAAATCAATAATGTAAATGCGAATGTTTGGATGGATGGATGTTTGTTACTATGTATTTCTAGAACAGCATGAATGATATTAATGAAAACCCCAAATAAAAGTAAGGTTTTAACTAAATATTTTTCTTATAATTCCACGACAAATTCGCGGTCAGAAACTAGTTATATTTAATCATTAATACTTGACCCTCGTAATGCTAGCATCGGAAACATAGACTTTTAGAGAAGTTATTCATCTGTTTGTACTGTCTTTATAAGTCCTATGGTACTATAATATATCGTAAGTATTACAAAATTATATTATTATAGACCTCTGTCTTAACAATAATGTAAATACAGAACAGCAATAAGTCACAGTTACTCGTATCGTAAAGATTCCGCAGTTCCCTAAGGCAATGTAGTCATAAATTCAATTTATCTTTTCTGAGAGTATTTCGCGGAAATTATATTAATAGTCTTTTTAAAACAATTGATAAGGAATTGGGTATTATTTTTAGACTAGATTTTTTTATTTCATAGTTTTTTATAGTTTTGAATTATTTTATAGTTTTGAATCAATTTTTTAATTTATAAAAAATAAATATGAGCTACAAAATGAATGGTAGTAATTTTTTTCAAAATACCCTGCGAAGTTCTAAAACGCAATATTCCTTTCAGAAACTATCAGTAGAATGTTAGTATTCAATAGGGATTTTTAATTTGGTGTTGTTGGTAGTGGCGATATGAAATTCCTCTCAGACTTCAATTTAAGCCAACATCATCGATCGGAACGCGGCGACAGATATTTGCGTTTCGGACGCGATGTTGTATTACGTTTATACTTCGAAAGCTGAACATTGCACAAAATATATAACAAGTTCAAGTCCTCGCATTGTAAAATCTCTTATAAAATCTCTTAGAAAATAGTAGATTAAATAAAATCAACACGTTCAGTGCCGACTCCCAACTAGTTCACATTCGAACGTAAAAATGTGGCATTCTATGTATTAAAGTTAGTTGATAATGAATCCAATAACATTAATATGCGGAAAGAATTCAATACAAAACCTCCAATCATATAATTATAATCCTCTAAAAACTTACATTACCTCTTCGAAATTAGAGCAAAAATAATAAACACATGCGGCCTAAAGACACATAATTTTCTGTACAAACATATCTTATTTCATACAAAGTAATAAACTCATTTATATCAACATTTCAGCAATGTAAATGGTAAATGAAACGTTTGCATCGTGTAGGTATATGAAATTCCATTTAATATCTTCATAATAACGTTTATTAACTCTGTTCATGTTCTACTTGTAAAGCAATATAATTATATCTTTGAAGATATGTAGTCCTAGAAACCGAATTCGATTAAGTCTACATGAAAACATTTGAATGTTCAGTTCATTTGATTCAACAAAAATCAGGAGATAAATTCAAGGATTCCTAATGATGTAAAATATATTTTATAAAGGCAAATATAACGAAAAGGTAAGAATAACAATCTCAAGCATTCGCCAAGTGACTCTTCACAGTCGTTGCAGTATTTTATATCTAGCTGCCTCAGGTTGTACTTTTGAAATTATCTGCAATATTATTGTTGTTGTTAATGGACAGTTTTTTAATTAACGTAATATTTTTCTTATTTATTTCAGATATGCTCCAGTCTTTATTACAGCCAAGAGATAATCAGCGATGTGAGTATAATCAAATATTTTGTGCACTGCAGATTTGGTACTGCGTTCTTCCATAAATATGTAAATAAACAATTGTCTTAAATAGCTTGGATATACTTATATTTAAAATGTGAATATCCTTTGAGATTCACTCGTATAACGTGACGTCACAGGGAAAGTGGATACGCAGCACAAAAGCGACCATTTTAAATGCAAATGAAATCCTGTGTCGTAAAGAGAGCGACGTCCCAGAGGAGCCATTGCTTGTACACTTCTCATTTTTCTTTTAAATACGACGTTATGTTTTTTCCTCAATCTACATTAGGAATAGACGCAGGATATACAGTCAGCAAACACTTCAAATGTGCAAACGAACAGTCTTTTGTTTGCCGTTTGAGACGCTAGACTTTCTTTGAGGTTACAGTTGTATAGTTAAGTGTAGAGCTAACAAAGTGTGTATTACAGCGAAGATGATTGGCGCAATGCCCGCAGTAGCCGTGCGGCATGAGCGGCGGCGCGCGGAGAAGCGGGCCGGCCGGCGTGCCAGCACGCTGCCCGGCCGGGACGACGATGCTGAGGTGGGCGGGCCCTGCGTGCGCGCCGAGCTATACAAGATACTAAAGGTAACTCTTACTATAACCTTGTTTTCCCCAAGAAGGAGCACTTTAAAGGCATTGTCATTAACAAATAATCCAGTACGTTTTATTATTTACATGCTACGGCATGAGCGTAACTAGATTAGGTAGCGGGCGGATGCCCCTATCTACACTTTAAACAAGACCAGATTAGGTGTCTTCTCCCTTAGACTTACGTTTCGACTAGCGAACTATGAATAATCAGTAATTAAATGAATGAACCGAGTAGGCATACGTAATGCATCAGCTATAAGGCTTTATGGCTTGTTTTATAGCTGGCGGCGCTGTACGGCGTGGTATGCTTCTCGCTGCTGGGTATCGTGTTCCTGGTGGTGGGGCTGGTGCAGCTGTCGCCGCGCGCGGAGGCCGCTCAGCATCGCTACTCCCTCATGGGCACCGGCGGCACCATGCTCGCTCTCGCTGTTTCCCTCTCCTTGCTGCGGTAACTTACATATACACACACTCTCACACCATAAACATAAGTCACTGTAGCTATTGTTAACTTTATAGGTTATATATTTTAAGATAGCCTACGTCACTAACCGCACCGCACAAGCCAGCTGAGCGAACACAATCAGACTTTTTTCTTTCACCCACTTTCATTTAACCTTTATAAATATTTTTACATATTTAGTGTGTTAAAGAAAAAAATAATCGATTTTATTTCTAGCAGATGTTGCTAATATGAGAAGGTTTCGATCTAAATATGTGTCGTTGGACATTTTGTTTTTAATCTTCATTCGATTTATATCTAATTACAAGGTGTTTTCTATCGTTTGTAATCTTCCGTTAAACGACACTTTTACGGACATCCTGTATAAACAGTAGCTGCCGCAAAATGTTTCAGAAATTTGATTAAAGATTAAACATCTGATTTTCGCTAATACATCGGCAATAACAAAGATATGTCAGTCGTCAGTTTCTCGTTTGTTTGACATCTGTCCGTGATCAGATTCACTTTGATAGTAACTCCGCAAATGTAGCAAATCATGCGTCATTTGTTAGCATAACATGCAAATGTATATGCTAATTACATTTCAAACTTATCTATATTCATGAATACCGAAATAGATTTTAGGTACATGCATTTACGCATGTCGAAAACTATGATTGAATATACAATAGTCGGAAATTGCATGAAAATATCTACAACTAATTATCAAATCTATAATAAATAATTATCATGTTTCAGATGCCTCGGTATACACTGGTACAAGCGTCAATTCGAAGAAGACGACGATGTCTCGGAGCAGGGAGCACACCAGAATGGGGTCGCTGACAGACATGGCCACGTCGACCATAAGACCGGACAAGTCGAACATAAGACCGGCCATAACGACCACAAAGCTGACCACAAGACGGCCAACGAGAAGCCCAAACTCAAGACCCAGGGTAGCGTCGGTCGCGACCTAGACCACGGCAAACAGCCAGCTGTCAGCGACACTTAAACATTTGTCTATCGAATAACATATTTCGATATAACGTACCGCTCTTTACTGTTAACATCCAATGCGGATTTTGTGGCCCTTGTTGGGCTACTTGCCCAAGATTCGGTGTATTGTAAATAGTATCGTGTCGATGTCTATTATCTGAATGTTTTACGCGAGAATGTACTGCCGGTATCTGTCCGAGCGCAGTCTAGATCACTCCATATCAAATATTATCTACGGAATGCCTTTTGCGCATTAAAATTGTGAGATCTTGATGCTTTCAAAACGGTTGCCGATAAAAAAAGACAAATGAGAGAAATGACATTTGACAGTTCTGTCACTGTCAGTCTGAATGATCATAGAGTAACAATGTAATAGAGAGGCAAGAAAACAATTTTGATTTCGAAATGTGCAAGAGGCATTTAAAAATAAATATACAATATTGGTGTAAGCTAGTCTAATATTGATGTTGTTCGCTCATTCATATTGTACTCGATGTACTAAATGTATACTCTAAATCTAGCACTATACATGTTAACGTATAACTGTATGGTCTATCTATTTTCGTGCGTTGGATAGATTAAAAGACACCACGAATCACCGTTCATATATGTGTGATGAAACAACTTAAATAAATTGAAAATCAGTTTGTCACAACGCACGATCTTATGATAGGAAAAAAATCATGTGTATTTTATGTGTCTAAATATAGAGCATAATAAGTGTCTACGATATACTATACTATATGTATGTAATTATAACTAATCATTACATCACCTTAAATTACATGTATCTTATCTCTTCTTATACTAATCTATGATTGAAAACTTGGATCCGATTGACCATTTTCTTTACGATGTTTTAGTTTTTTCAATGAATTTTATACGAGAACATTTAATGTCTTACATATCATTTTTATAAACCCCTTTTTATTATTCGCTAGACGATTTTAATCAGTTATTATATATCCTACTCATTAACAAAATTCATCCAAAATATTCCAACTGTACTATATTTTGTGACGTTACTTTAAATATATTTTTGAGATGTTTACAATTAAAAATAAATCCCGATTTATATTTGCTTTGATATATTGGCAATGAATTATATGAAAATTAATATTCTATATCTGTTCTCGGACCACGCTTATAAAATTGTAGCATTTATTAGCCGCCATTTTGATTGCAAGCTTCGCCGTCCGTTTGGATAAGTGTCCAGTAAACGTTGAATTTTAAATGTAACGTTTATTTTACACAGCGCTCTGGGAATCGTCTTTTGTTTACTCTGTGAATTAAAAAAGTTAATAAAAAATGTGTTTGAAATGTAAATTCACTTTTATAAGTCTTTTAATAATTCAAATATACTAGATAATATTGTACGTGAGACGATTTTACCTAAAAATAAATACGAAAATGACCAAAATTAAAGAAAAATTGTAATTTTTTAACGAAATTATTTAAAAAATCTTCTGATTATCAATAATATTAAAACCACCTACAGCATAAAATTCGAAAACTGATGTTTATGGGGTTAATATTATATTTCACAGATTAGACATTTGACGATTTTTAATTTCCACTATGGATTACATTCACACAAATATTTACAGAAATATACTTATTTTAGTGCATAATATAACCTTTATTCAATACATTTATAGATTTAAGTGATGAACACATGTTTGAGACCATGTTACTTCGAATGTAATTGGTGTTTGAGCTTACAATATATTGTGATTTCCTTTATATTCAGTTTTTCGTATATATCTTTATTATTCTTGTTATTTTTAATTTAAAAAGTCCGTTCGGATATCTTGATTGATTTTATTAATATGTTGTTAAATCTTAAGATGTTTTAGTTAAACTATGGTTAAAAAAATAATTTATTACACGATTTAAAAATGACTTCAACAACTTTGCAAGCTCATCCGGAGCTGTTATTTAAACAAGAGTGTTTCTTGTTTCGACCGATATTTAGATGTTTGTGTATTATCAATGTTTATAGAAAATATATCTTTAAATTAGAATTTTACGTATAAGTAGGTGTTGTAAATCGATGTTTTAATATACTTACTGTTTTAGAGCAAGCGTTCAAATATCAAATAACTAGATTTCAACTAACACTTCCTTGAATATATCCATTCTCCATACACATTTCGATTCTGTTTGTTTTGATAAATATCTTTTGATTTTTGATAAATATAACGAAAATCTTATCCTAAGACTGAAAAAGTGTTCGAAAGTTAAATACCATTTCTTTTTTTAGTGGTTTTTGGATTCAAAGATTTCCTGAACTTGGCTCTTAGACACATTTTTTTTCTAGTCATTATAGTAACCCGGGTCCAAATAGGGCCATAAACTTATGGATCTCGAAAAACTTCTTGTCAAAATTAGTCTACTTAAGTTTTCTACCGTAATATACTTAAACAATTGTCTACTTAGCAATTTTACTTGTATTCTGTGTATGGTAATTATTTTTTTCTTAATTATTTAATTATTGTATTTCTATGTTCTATACCACATGTTAATCTTTCAGTGTCATAGAATAATTTAATAATATTAACAATAACCTTACAATGTTGCTCTTTAAATAATTTTATTACAATATCTTGTTTTTGCCAAAGATTTTTGACGCGTTCACTGACGTCTTCGACTCAGTGTTGCCACAACTATCGAGTTAATTTAGCCGAATTATATTCAAAATGACAACGTCAATGTGTTGCATTGTAGCTTTTTAATATTTCCGTGCCAAAGGTACATTGAGCCAATATTAACGTACCGTCTTTAGTTAGCAGATTATAGAATATTTTCTATGAATCTCATAAATATTGTAATTGCCGATTTTAATTCAGGGATTTAGCGAGGAATTGACGTCAGTTTCGATCTCTGTATAGCTTATAGCATCTTATAAAGCTTTTATCCGGAATTTCTATTTATTAGTTGTAGTTTCGTGGCCGTGTGTTATGTGCTAATGTACTCTTCGCCGAGAGGAGTACCCGACATTCCGTGGCTTTGTACGCTTCGAAATCGCCAATCGATTATGTGTATTCAATTGCATTATAATAATAAATGTATAGACATAGATGTATTGACGTATAAACGTAAATGTTGAGGTTAAGATTCAAAGGATTTTTTGTTAGTACCTGAAGAGAGGTCCTCGGCCTCCCCTAGGTCGTCTATCACCCTACCTAAAGCCTAAGCTCTATTCACTGTGATAAATAATAAATGTAAGGCTAATAATTATGTATGGTCGATTTTACTGAAGTTTGGGAAGGTTTTTACGAGACAAAATTTGATGGTTCGCGAGGCGTTCTTGATTTAAAAATTGCGTGCTGTTTGGATATCACAGTGAATACGTTACATTTCCATTTCCATGTCCATTAACTCAACTGTCATCCCTTGTACGTTCATCTACTTCGGTTAAGTTGTGTAGAGGTTACGTGTGGCCAGAGCCGGCGGCTAGCGCTGTACATCTGTGTCGATTGATCACTTCTCGCAAGCGGTTCAGTGAGCTATGGTTCAAAATAATAGTCTATTGTGGTTCGCGAACCAATCAGTCATGAAAGAATAGTAATCAATCAAAGTTAGATCGCCACAGATGTAACACGCAGTCCATGAGTTCGCACAATCGGGAACATATCTGGATTCATGCGGCAACACTACATTTAGTCTCTACCGTAATATAATTTCTAAATATTGACGTATTTTATATTTGGATATTGATATACTTTTAATTTAAATTACGACTGTGCTGTTTTATATCTCATATATTTTATACCGATGACTCTAAATAAAATGTGAACGGATATAATGTGTTTTTATTTTAAACTTTCCCTTTACATCCGATTTCTTTTTCATTTATCTGTTTGTAGAAGCTTGTGCTCATGTTATATTAAGTAATGATTAATGACGCCGTAAAAACATTTTTCTCGTTAAAATGTTTGTAATCATACGAGTACTAATAGTATTAACATGAAAGTTTAGATAGATTGATGGATGCAAGATTAGAGTTTGTAGCCTAAACGGCAGAACGGATTTCGATGAAATTTGGTATGGATGTAGAGGATAGTCTGGAAGAACACATAGGCTACTGACTTTTGTTTTTTTTTTTTTAATTCCACGTGGACGGAGTCGCGGGCGATAGCTAGTTCTGTATAAGTAAGAATATAAAAAGGAATAAATCTATATTTCTAGGGAAACTCATGGTATTTGCGACATCTATTAATCAATTCATGAAATATTAAGCGAAATATAAGATGTACTAGATGTCACTGTTAACAGTTTTTCACAATGCCTAACTGCGAACAGTTAATAACGAGCACAAAAACGTAGGTAAATTATAGAAATAAACATCGATTTCACATCACTTATAGCTTAAATGCTTTTATCGTATTAAAGAAACAAATTAACTGGGAACCGTAAGTATAAGTAGGTATGTAAATTATTTCTTCATTTTGACACATCAATAAAATAACAATAATTTAAATTTATTCGTATATAAATAAAAGGAATTGCTTTATTTCATAGTTCAATAAAACTAAGCGACCACTAAGCACAGTATGGCAACGTCGCACTTTTCGCGCGGACGCGGTACAAGCTGCGCTCGCCGATATCAGTACGCGTTGCAAGCTACCATAGTGTTGCCAGCATATTTTCGTAATATACCAAGAGAAATGTTTCACCTGACACAATAGCTTTAAAAGTTATATGTTCCCTCCGGTTCCTAGCAAGATTTAGGTAAATTGAAATTGACATCTAGATTTAATAAATTCAACGCCATAATTATAAACCTAAAATCATTACAATGTAAAAAAAACGTATAGAGGTAAGATTTTTATTTTTGTATGTATTAGAATAACTCAAAAACTACTTTGTCACTTTAAAAAATCCTTTCACTATCAAAAAGCTACGTTATCAGTGAGTAATATAGGCTATCTTTTTTTTTTTATTTTGTTTCACGCCGACGAAGTCGCTTGCAACAGCTATTGTTAATATTGTAACAAGTACAGGAAAGTAAGATACGTTCCATCTTGAAATGTACCTGATATATTTTAAAATAAATAAATTGTCATACTACCCTTTTTCATTTAACAAGAAAATGTTAGTTTTCAGTAATCAATTAAAACTTATAAAAATAATCAATTTTAATTGTCAAGTATGAACATCACTAGTGATGGCGGTGTTTTGTCAGTTAACGCGAGACGCAACGCGCGCATCGCGGTTGACGCCCGTCGGGCGACGCAGTATCTCCGTCAGACGCGCGACGTTAACAAAATGGCGAGGCGGTTAAGGAATCCAGAGCTTGTTACCAGATTGATTGAAGAAATCGAGAGCCGACCATGTCTCTGGCAAGTTAACCACCCATACTACCACAATAGAAAGAAAATGAATGCAGCTTGGCAAGAGATTAGCGAGAAGTTAGATATTCCAGGTAATGTAATTTTAAAATAGCGACATCTACCGGCTGTCGTGTGAACTTTCAACCTGTTTGCTTGTTCCAAGATTACATTAGCTTACAAAGCAATGCCACTGCCATCTATGGATATGACTATGAACCAGAACTAATAATGAGTTAATTCAAAAACGTATTTTAATATTTTCAGTAAACACGATCTATTTAAAATGGCAAACTTTACGGCGTTTCTTTACAAGAATGTTAAGGATGGAAAATATAAAGGATATCCAAGAATATAAAGGTGGATGGCCACATTTTAAAGCGATGTGGTTCCTTTACAAACAAATTATGCTAGGAAAAGGAGCCGACAGAAACGAAGATGCGTTTTGGCCAAGTATACCCGATAGTTGGGAAGAAGCGATGCTACGAAGTATCCCCGATAATTGGGACGAAACTATGCCACTAAGTATCCCCGATAATTGGGAAGAAGCAATGGCTCGAAATATATCCAATACTTTGGAAGAAGCGATGCCTCGAAATATCGCCAATAGTTTGGAAGAAGCGATGACGGAAAGTATCCCCGATAGTTGGGACGAAGCTATGCAGAGAAGTATCCCTGATAGTTCGGAACGAGCGATGCCAGGAAATATCACTAATGGATGTGAAGAAACGATGCTACGAAGTATCCCCGATAATTGGGAAGAAGTGATGCCGCGAAATATCGCCAGTAGTTGGGAAGAAGCGATGGCGGAAAGTATTGCCGACAGCGGCGAAGACGTGGCAACTGAGGGAGGTGAAGTCGTGGTGAAGTATAGGCCCATACCGATGAAACACGATGAGATATCTTTTGCTGTCCAGTCTAACCTGACCCCGGCGAATAGTCGACGGGAGAGTTCCGACGAAGATTTCGATGAAATGTTTCTCTCGTCGCTAACGCCGTACTTTAAGCACTTAGAACCGGTTAGGAGATTAAGAGTGAGAAGTAAAATACAAGAATTGTTAATACATGAGCTTAATGATCAAACGAATAGCACATTAAATTAGATAATTAAAAACTGTAAAATTTAAGATTACGTGAAATCCTTGTACCTAAACGTATCTGTTATCAGAAAAATAAGATGTAAGGCTTTATGCAGTAAGCAGTTAGGTTTAACTTAGCGTGATTTCTCCTATTTATTAAAAAAAATACATTCCATGTTTGCATAATATTATTACATTACTCTAATGTATTAATAAACTTGAGCTATTAAAATTGTTTTGTTATTTGATACAAACATAGAAAAGTGTGACTTGGTCTAATAGTTTTTCAGTTGTTGGTAAATCTTACTTTTTGCTAATATTATAATTGCGAAAGTTTAAATAGATGGATGTTTGTTAAAGTTGGTAGCCTAAACGGCTAAACGGATCTCGATGATATTGCTCAGACGCCTGGAAGTATACATAGGCTACTCACTTTTTTTTAATTCGAGGCGAAAGGAATCGCGGACGAAATCTAGTATGTCTATAGAGGCGGATTACATGAATGTATAAAAAATCGTAATAAAATCTTAACACATGCGCTACCACTAAGGTATAGCAAATACAGATATCGGTACAGCCGGCTGAGCTAACAAGTTTCGCGAAACGAATGTGTAAACGTCTTTGGAACACACACTGCTATTTACCAAGATTGCGGGAGATTTTGTCCTAGAATATTCTAGCAAAAAATATTCGCATCTTATAAATAACCCTAGCAATATGTTTTCTTCTGTTTCCAAATATTCTTTCCGTAGTGCAATCATTATACGCTCACAAGACTGATCCAAATAAACTCTCAGTGTCAGTCTCCTTGCTGGGCTGATCCAAATGCAGTTTCAAACCAAACGAGTATACAATCCAAAACTAAACGACACTGGAGCAATACGTAATGGTGAGAACTATTTAAATCCACGATCGGACAGTTACTAAACCTTATTTAGATTAGCAAACTTATTAAAGTCAGTATTTGACTATAGGTACTTGTACTTCTCATTACATGAATCCATTTGATTAAAGCAATCTTTATTCTTTGTATATTACCACAGATAATACAAAAGATTTCTATACGAATATTATTAAGGCGGGTTCCTTAACACTTACGTTCGTTTTACATAGAAGTAAGCTCATCTTTAAATTTAGAAATTAATCTCTGTATTCCTGTAGCATTAAATACAACAAACAATACCTACTTTAAACAACGTATTGATACAATAGCAATTAGAAGCAAAGACTAAACAGTGCGTGCAATGTCATCTGGCGTGTGTGTACAAGAAGGTCGCCAGAACAGACACGCCGTTACTAATTTTTTTAATTTACAACGTAAGCCACGAGACATAATATAACTAGTTGGTGAAAACAAGCCAAAACGTATTCTAGGAACTGTGGCTATCGGCTAGGGGTTAGATGTAATAGTTCCGATTCACAGAAGACTTCGTGTTACGATGTAAGTAGCCATCTACGCTAATGTCTTGTTATTATCGTGATCGTAGTGGTTATTGTGTCTGTACTCTGTAAGCTATACAAGGTTTTAACCATTGATCAGATTTGCCTTCGTTCCGTTCACGAAAAAAAAGTACGCCATAAATAAAATAAGAATTTAATATAGCGAGGGCTCGAGTTCACACGCGCCCGATTTAGGAGCGAGACAAGTCGAAATTTATTAACTCAGCACTCACCTGTGGCTACACGTCTCGTCTAGCACACAGACAGACAAACTCTGATTTTTCCGCCAACAAGTCCCTCCCAATCGTAACTTCACACGTATTAACAGTTTCTGTGCTTTTTACTAGTGATGTGAAAGTATCGCATGCAAACATAATAGTTAAAGTGAACTTAAACCTCTGATTACACGTTGATAAATTGGGAACTTCCAAGATGGATGTAGATTAAGAGGAAGCTTTTACTTCTTCTAGCTCTTCAACGTGCTTCATCCATAAGAAATTATAAAAACTTTATTTTATTGTTTACATTTGTCAAATTCTCAGTTGCAAATGTCAAAATTCAAATGCACAAATGACAACAAAAGCCTTTGACATTGGATATACTATTACTGTACCATGGCAATCTTGCTTCCTTGATGTTGGCAGTTCGTAGTTTATGGTTCCTTTCCCACATGAAGGTTTTTTTCCAATTTACTTATAGCCTAAAGAGTATCTTAAGTGTCGGGCCTTTTATTAAATAAGGAATTACTCAAAAATATACTGACATCCTACGCCAAGAAGTAATGTGTATTTACGCTTTATTATAAAAAATACTACTACTACTAAAGTATAGAAGTGTAAATATAGATTTAATGAATGAACTGTACGTAGTTTAAAAATAGCAGCATTACAATTATAATTCAACAAAGCTGTATTGTTTAAAAATATTTATATGCATTTTTCCTTATAGATTCAATCCTTAATTTAATAGAAAATAAATAAATTATCATATTAATATTGAAAGTTTGGCGTTACCAAGATACAGCACTAGTCGAAAGTTTTTACGCGGGGTTTGTCGGCGGGCGGGGGAGGGGGCGCAGCAACCCAAACAAAACAGGCGCGGGCTGGCAACGCCGCGCGGCTGCACGCGCGCTGGCACCGCGCCGCGGGAATCGATCCCTCTCCCGCGCGACAGAGACAGGTTTCACTCCACTCCTAATAGTGAAGCACTACGAGCTTAATTACCGTAAATTGACGATATATTTTTTTCGTTATCGGTTTTTAGGTAGACCATTTTTCGAATTACCCTTCACTATTGAATAATTTGAAACAAATTATAAAAAATATTTCACTAATCTAATATTATTTTTTTAAATCCCTTTTTATTGGATGAAAGAACAACTTTAACTATTCCTTTGAAATACAATTCTTTACGAAAATAGTTACAAGTTTTTATTCAACGATGCCTACCAATTTGTGTGGGCTTGTAACGTGTTTTTGTAAGCGTAATAAATTGATAGTTCCACACGGAAAATAAATCAATATTTTTAAAGTTTAATGAAAGAAAATAAATGACGTTCTTACATAAAAGAAAGTAGTAAAAAAGACGCATTTGAATATTATCTCATTTTCTGACGCACTTAAGAAATACAAATAAAATTTTAATTTAATTTTGTTAAATTACAAATATTTAAGTTAATTTTTGAAAATGTGATTACTAAGTAATGCAATTCTTAAAAGAATCCATAGTAAACAAAACATAAACTAAGACTTAAATTGCTTAGTAAGAAAATGTAGTTTTTTAACGTCAAGAAATTTGACAAAGGATTTTTTTGTTATCCACCCTGAGCATTTTTCTGAGACAAAAAGGAGCTGATATCTACCCCAGACTTGGGATAATTAAATCAGCATTCATTGTGATATTTACAAGAGGGGAAGCCCCTGACACAACTTCGGCCGCAGCCAGAGGCGATACTTGATTTGTCTTCTTTGTATTCGGCAATAGATCCATCGCTCATTGTACTTACAACTTCCTTCCAATTCATGCGTACTTGTAAAGTGTTTGTCTACTAAAAATTATCATGTCATTTTACACACAAAGGATAACATAGAATTTGTTACTTAAATAAATGAATTTCCTTTTTACACGATTCTACAATTCTTTTTTACACACATGAATTCTAAACTAGGTCTTAAAGTACCAATGTATCTACACTCTCAGCACATTATAAGAAGCCATTGGTTCATATTTAGATAAAACGATGGTGTTTGTGATAATATAATCAGAACAGAAGTGTACAGATAAGGCGGTAGGGACGCGGTCGCTATCTCCCGCGGGACAGCATCTCCTGATAACAGCCAGTCTCCGGTGGTTTATCGAAAAGTTATGTCAATGACTATGGTTTAAAGAAATCGTACAGATGTAACTTTATAAACGAGTTATGGGTTCTTTTAACATAAGTATAAATAGACTTTTTAAAAAGAACTTAAAGACGGTAATAGACGGATGTCAATGGATTATTAGATTATTTCTAAATGGAAACATTTTGTCTTTCAAGATGTGGAAATAATGAAATAAGATACATTAAATGGAAGAGATCCAGAAAGATGATTGGAACTGTCTATTAAATGTTACATGAAATACAAAAAAAATATGAGAATGTACTTAACATCATTGGCGATGAACAGTAATTCTTCACAACTCAACAGTTCACGTTGTTTGTGTCCGACGATGGGACTTCAAACAACCGGTTATTTAGTTCCAAAGAATAGCAAGTCAACAAGCTGATACCGGGAACTGTTCCAGCGACCGGACGCGAACACTCGCACACTGTTTACAATATCTGTATCTAAATTCATTAGTTATCGCTTGTACTTGCATATATTTATTTGAAAGATTGTTATATACCTCAAATTTTCCAATCCGTTTGTCACGTTAAGATAACTGTACTGAAAATTAAAACCCTCATATCATATGGATATACGAAACACCAATAAATCAATGGTTATAAATGTAATACAAAAGATCTTGCTTTCAGATCCAAGAATTTAAAAAGATCTAATGAGGTTAAAATATTTAAAATCTTTTACTCAAAGTTTATTTAACTTTGCTTTTCTTCTGTTTTTTTATTGGTAGAGATAAGATCTTTCGATAGAAAGTTAATTTTCACATCTCCATAAAATAGTTACTTAGTTAACAAATGTAATTACCTTAGGAAATTTATTATACTGTTTTACATAATCATTACAAGCTACACATCTTTAGACTTTATGTTGCAAATGTATTCACAAACAATGCATATTTATAAATACCGGCTGAATAGTTTTTCTTACCGCCCAGCGAGTAATAACACTCATTGTTGGTTCAGAATAACTTTGTGTAACTTTGTACTTAGCCCGCCACACGAATGTGCTTAGTTAAAAAAAACAGGAGAGAAACTAAAGCTTGTTATGAATCTATAAACAGAAATTATAAGTTGCACGTTTAATTTAAAACCGAATTTTTAATTAAACCATTTAAATACTGGCCACAAAAATAATAGACATAAAAAATAAAAATAAACTTTCCTGTGTGCATCACTAGAAATATATTCATCTCTCTCTCACAACGACGAAACTTGATATGGTAATAAATAAAATATATCAATGCATCTCTTTCTCGTCTCAGGGACTGTCAGTTATGTCGTCTCTGTCTAGAGCGAGGGTAACCGAGTGGATGGCGCACGGGTATCGCTCTTCAAATACTTTAGTTTGGAGTTCCTTCTAACCTTGAATATCGGAATTCAGGACTTTGCCTGTCTCCCGAACTGATCTCTAATTAATTCTATTTGAAAGGATTTTATAAGGATTGCTTTAATCTCTCTTTATTCATATTATTACTTTTTTGTATTTTTAAAATGAAAGTGTTTATTTTGGTTTTATTATTTAGGCTGTTTGTATGACCTTT